ACAAGAGTGTCTCCTTGAATCTGTTCAGTACTATGGAATGTCTACATCAAGTTATATCTGTTTGTTTGTGCCGATTACATGATTCTTTTGCATCACTTATGTCAGCTGGTTCTTGTTTGAAGGCGAGGCATGAACTCGCAAATGCAGACAGTAATTCTGTTCAATCACGTTCTTCTATGCGGCTGGCTCGTGGACGAGCTCGTCTTTTTGAATCGGAATCATGTGCACGAGATAACGTTATTCGTATATTAACGGAAGAGGTTTGTGTTCCGCTCCGTAATGTGTTAAATTTCCTGGAGAAAATGTATCACACGTTGTGTAGTATAACATCAAGTGGTTTCTTGCTTTGTCCTTTCTTCGGTTGTGATAAGAAGGATACTAGTTTACTGCCTTCGAAACAGTGTGTATTCGATTCTATTGTATATACACGAGGACTTGTTAACTTGGATGCGCCATCAAGAGAGCAGCGGAATATTGAGTTGTTTACGAATATTGCCTTCTTCTTACTCGAGTATCTCACCACCGATGTTTTCGGACATGTTCGTGGTCTGCGTGACAGTGTGTTTTCGTTGAAAGAGGAGTTATCAAAGACTTATTCCTCCATAATGGACACTTGGGTGCCAGCATACAAAGACCAGCTTCCCTCTGTTAGTCCACGTGCTGATATTGATTTGAAGTATCTCTTCTCATCTTTGCAGAGTCAATATGATGCAATTGAAGCTTGGAGTCGACGTCAACATCAGGTAGAATTGAAGCAGATCAGTAGTACTATGATTAGTTTTCTAACACAACTTTATGATTGTTGGAAATGTGGGTTTCTGTGTAGCGATTTAAAGTTGCCATGCCGTATTTTAAATATTCCATATGGTTCAAGAAACAGTTTATCCCAGCCTGTGTTAAATAAGGTCAATGTGAATGGGATATCGCCATGGCCACCTCAACACTTAACTTTTGTTCCACCCGAACACCCAGTGCCAGAAAATTCAGTCAGTGATCTAAGTAAAACTGTTTGTTCGACAAGCAGTGATTCGGTAGAAGATTTTGTCTATTCGAAAGTGACATTTTCACGTGATTCTTTGAGGAAGACGTTGAAATCTGCGGTAATCACAGTGCATACTCCGGAAGTCAGTAGCAGCAGTAGTAGTCAGAGTGAAGGGCGTATCTCACGTGATGATGTCCATGATGGTAATGCAAGACTGCTCAGTGATCGATGTGCTGGAGTGGACTCTTCCGTATCACACTCCAGTAACCCGTGTTCCCCTAATATTATTCCTCAGACAAGATTACTTATTGCTGTTAACCAAACATGTTCAAAGAATGTTACAAGTATGTCACCTAACACCTCCTCATCTTTGGATTCTAATTCTCTTCGAACCACAGAGGTGATAAATTCGTCAGAATCTTCTGTTTCGGTGAGTAAAAGTACTACTGATAATTCAGAATTGAATTCTTTAAAGTTAGTTACTGAGATTGTTGTGAATGATGTGCCATCACTTGAGAGCCTTTCAAATCCCTTATCATCAGGAAACGCTTGTAATAATAGTCCTACTGAAATTGACGTTGCGTACAAAGAAAAGGCATCTGTTAGAAATTCATATGATTGTGAGAAAGAAGTTAACGGTAGCCAGTGTCCTCCTCAACCGGTTCGGGTGTGCAGTTCTGTGGTGTCAAAAAACAGTGATACGTTAACGGTCGTTACTAATGCAAGTGATTCATGTGGAAGTGCTTTGCAAATGTCAATTGATTCCCGAGGTGAATCATTGGTTCAGAGTGCTTCGGTAAGTCTAAGTGGAACAACGGAATGTGCTCATTCGGAAAACTTCTCATCCGTACCGAATAAACTATCAGACAGTCTTATGCTGGTCTCATCACGTAGTGAATGTAATGAATCTGAAGCGCAGTCTGTCCCATCAAACGCTGATGTGGACACACCATCTCCTTCGTATGTTTCAATCAATAATGTTGAGAATATTTCTTCACAGCCTAACACAGCTGAACCTACGGAAGATATTGATGTCACTTCAGGTAACCCTGTTCCTTCGCCTAATTCTGATGGGATTCCAGGAAGCCCAGGTGCTTCCACAAACAATTGCGATTCACCTTTGCAGGATTCAAGTTACCGAGATGATCATGATGAAGAGTCGACATATTCTCTTGAGAGCAATTCTGATGAGATATCAGAAAGTAGATCCCAGTTATCGTCTGTCAGTACTGTTGTCTCAATAAACCGGGAGAAAGAAAAGTCGATAAAGAAGGTGTGCATTTATTTACCCAGTAATACTGTTACTAACTCTCCGATTAAGAATATTGTCTGTCAATATAGTAGTGGGGAAGAGCACTCCGACTCTGATCAGGTGAACAGTTGCACAATGACTCTTGATAGACGGCGAGTTGGGAAATTGAAACGGAAGCTGAAGAAGTTGAACCACTTACCTGTTTCTGGAACGAATACTTCTGAAATCTCAGAAAGGAACTCCGCCTCACAAATTGAAAGTCTCTTGTGCTCGATTCCGTCAACTAGTAACAGTTGTTCATTGACGGGGTTTCCAGATGGTTCACATAATTTGACTAATTTCCGTGTGAAACAACCGTTAAGTGATCTTGTATCTCTTCCTTCTTGGGTGCAAGAGAAATCTCTGAATTCTAAAGCTCCCGGACCAGTGACGGCTTCGGTATTAGGACTATCTGCGTTCCCACTTTCAACTGTATCAGTTAGCTCGACTTCTGATGAATAAAATCTCATCTTTTCTACAGATTAATGTTATTGTTTAATATCTGATATACAACGTCCTTGACTTGTATAAATGTGTACATAATGCACTTGTGATATCTATCGATTGATAAACGAAGATTTATTTTGTGTACACGATTGTGTTTATTGCTATTCATTACTTATTTATTTTTTTATCTAAAATAGAAATTAATTTTACTTTTCTTGTATTTCATCACGTCTATGAGTGTTATCAGTGTGGTTATTCTCTTAGATTCGGAGTGAACCACAGGGCTTCATCAGCAGATCTTCACGTTGTCCTGTTCTCTGCAGTCCCCTGTTGACTGTTCTACTTCGTCCGACGATTGTGCTTCCATCTGTTCTTCTTGTAAGCTTAACATCTAGGCAGGATGATTAACCTTCTGATTCTGCTCTAATTTTGAATTCGACTGACTGATGAAGAATTGTAGGTTTTTTATTATATGTTAGTATTTTCAACGGTGAGAATGAAGATATCATCTATATACCACGTGTAAACTTCGATCCATTTGATTGTTGGTAGGGAGGGGATATTTGACTCAAGGTACTCCATGAACCAATCGGTAATCAATGGACCAAGCGGAGAACCCATTGCTAATCCATCTTTCTGATTACATGTTCAACCATTGAATAAGAAGTGAGTATTCAGTGTCCATCTCAGGACTTGTCCTTTAATATGTGTATTGGCTATGCCAACATTCAGATTATTTGAGTCGATAAACACACTTAGGTAGCGTACAGTTCGCGTTAAGGGGACGTTAGCGAATATCGAAACCACGTCCGACGAAGCCATAGTTGATCCCAGATGCATTCAGTTGACTTACTGATTCTACGAATTCAAACCTATCATCCCTTCACATTGTTCCTCTTAATGGTGATGGGTGCTGGTTGTTGCTTGTGGTGGTTAGGTATTTTGATCATGTCTGCGTTCACTTAAATCCCGAGTTCGTGTGACATTAAACATAAGTCGTTAGCGAAGTCCAAATTTTCCAGGGTCATCTTGTCGGTCTTACGTATTATTGTCTCCATCCGCGGTGTGTGGCATGATCTCGTCCGTTACGATTAGTAATATGGGTGATACTAGGTAACTTTATCTTGTCTGTCTCTTGTCCTCACTTCAAAGGCATTGCTGATTTTTCCGTCGTGGATCACGTGATATGCGGCATCAACATGAAGCAGCTGACTACGGCCGATAAAAGTTCTGGATCCTCTGTAATGTTCTAGCAGTTTCCCAATCGTTTTACGGAGGTCTTTACAAAGCTGTTGAATGTGAGATAAAGGTTTGAATACGTTCTATGGTCTCTTCGATGATAATGTGTAGCACTGTGATTTGATCAGCATATTATTTGCCTTTCTAGTTTGTTGCAGGTGGAGTTTTGCATTTGGAGCATTTTTTAGCCTCACCAGGTTGATGCGATATAATATTTTGCTTTTAGTGAATGGGCGCATGAGTTCGCGCCGGTTTTGCCAGGACGAAATTCTCCCTTCTCTGGCAGCTTGATGAGGGAGTCTTTCTTACAGCTAGTAGATACCTTTCCTTCCGTCTAAACCTCTTGCAATAGTGTTGTAAGTATATGCTCTGCGTTCTAAGGATCCGTTTTCAGTTCTTCCGAAGGAGCTGTGTCTCATCTTGCCGCCTTCTCGGTTTTCAGTAGCTTTGTAGCATTCAAGACCTGCTTTTGTCGGAGAATCGGTAACTACTGTCAGTCATGTGGCTCTTGGTGGGATATCTGGACGCGTTGTAGGTGTTGGTTGGTTCAAGTGACCAGCCGATTGTGCTCTACTTTTCTCGTGATTAGGTTCACTCGATTATCTTTTATTGCCATCAGCTGCATTGATGTCATCTCGGATAGAGACCTGGTTATCTGATATAATGTTCTGTGCTGTATCACCTGTGGCCTGTTCTGTTCGAGCTCCCAAAGTGTCGTAGAATTTTCTGCATCTTTCTTGGTATTCTTCTGTACTTTATTTAGTTAACTTAAGTCAACTTCTTTCGTTGTCCATCTCTACATTGATTGATCTTCCGTTTTCTCACCCCTCTCTCCTCAATGAGCTTCCAAGTGCCTGAAGGGAGCCATTGATTGTCTTGCCTTTTCTGTCATCAAAAAGACAGCTACAGAGGATTCCTTTAGCATTGATTTCTGAGAGTACCAGTGTTCTTCCACACAGGTTTCCGTGATTTGGTTTTGATGCCTGAAGTAAAGGTGTATTTTGTAGTTTTGGCCTTCCATTTTCGGGTAATGAACTTCAATCATGATCCACTTCCAGCTTTTTTAAAGTCTTTCAACTTGAATTTAAGAGTTCCTCGGACTGGACAATGATCTGAGTACGGGCCTGCTCCTATTTGTGATTTTGTGTCCAGTCAGCTGTCTCTGCACTTCAGATTCAAATGAATTGTATCTGATTTCTGCTATATCTGTCTGGTGAAACCCATATCGCTTTTTGAATATCCTAGTGCTTGTACACACTGCCTCCAATAAGTAAATCGTTAAAGGTGCAAAGTCTAAAAACATTTCTCCATTCGAATTCATTTCGCCAAGAGCCTCCCGACCCATGATGAATTCGCTACCTGTGTTGTCTGCTCCCAGATTGGCTTTTATTCATGTCACCCATTAGGTTTTTGGTGTCGCTATCTGACTTTTGTCGTATCCATAACTTAACACTTGTCTGTAGAAGTCTTTCTTCTTCCTATGGTGTGCATAGCGAGAGTGTCTCACTGAAGATTGTAACTTTCCTATCTTTTGGATTGAATCTAAATGTCTTTGTCCGAGATGAGATTGGTTCCCATTGCGTAAGAGCTTTGACCGCTGTTGGTGATGTCTTGATAGCTACACTGTCAGTGTGCTCGTGGTTGTCGTCTGGGTGACCGAACAAGACAATGGACTCTTCGGGTAATAATTTAAGTAGTCAATTTCCATTCTATATCTGCTCTCACAGGCTCCTAGCACTTCTATATCATATCTTTTCATTTCTTGGGCAATCCGAGCTGTAGACTCAGTTTCGGACATCGTGAAGACATCCCATATCCTCGTTCCTTATATTGCTTTCAACTAAAGAAGACATCAGCTGACTGGCTGGCTTCCAGAAGGCTCTCACCAACCCGTGTTATTCCGTCTCTCCGATTTCAACGAAGAAAAGGTGTATTCTTGAAGTGGCGATAGTATTGATTTTCGGACATGGAGTCCCGAAATGAATCCTTCCTTTTTTTGTGCTTATTAGCGGCTGGTAAACCAGATGAGGTTTCGTTGTAGGGCATTAATTCTGATATTACAAAAGTATGTTCCGGTTTGTTTCAATTTTAAGACGTTGACTTGTTGCTTTAGGTGGAATTGAAGAACATACAATAATCAACGTATTAATTTGGTAGTTATTAGGGCTGACATGAAAAGCTGATTAGCTGTAGGGTTTAAAAAGGCTGTCTCCAACTCTATTACCATACGGTCTGCAAACTAATTTACCAGGCTGTATTGTCGTTGTTGACCAGATAACTAAGTAACTGTGATCCTATGCATTCATCTACGAGTCGTAGTCTGTGTCTATCTCAACTTCAATTATAATAGATCCATACTGAAATTATCTGAGTAGATTCAAAAAATATCTCATCCTTTAAGTAGTGGTTCGCAAAGTGTTCGATGAAAAGAAAGGCCTAGAATGTGTTTCCTAAAAATAATATTCAGAGTGGAATAATACTGTTGTTTTGGATATTTGGTTCATCAGCACCAGAAGTAAAGCTGCCGAATCGTCGGTGTATATAATCGACTCAAAATATCCGCCTTCAACTTCCCATTCAGCTTACATAACACAACTATGTAGTGACACAAACTTCCGTTTCTTATCTGAGAACAGTATGCCTCTTTCTCCTGGTCAGAAGAGACAATCGTCACTACACATGAGTGGAATATTTTCCATCTCATAGAAAGTGGTTTCCAATACCTCTCACCCAACAACAACAACCGATGTGTTTAACACATCTAGTGTCTGATTACTGTATAAGACTACCGCTTGTACAGGTAGTCCTTTTATCTTCGACAGGTGGTAATCATTCTCACCCCATTGATATTGCTTTTCAACTGGTGCTATTCATTAATATTGGATTTATATGTGAACGACAGAAAATGGATTTTATATGGTTCAGCTACTCAACGAGTCTTCTTATTAGTAAAACGAGTACACATGAATTGTCTAATTCATGAGTAATAATCACTTCACAGCGATATTATATGGGGTCCTCAATCAGACAGCATAAATAATTGGACGATTTTTAATGGCGTTGTTGAAATGTGCTCACATCTTTGTCTGGTAACTATCCTGAAACCTAGTCCTACTTTTACTGACATAATGCACCGAGATAGACAGTGAGTAGGCGTACATAATAATAGTAATAATTTTCATGTCATCTCCATCGTTGAATTATCTGCTGTATTCCCATTTCATCATTATTATCTAATATGGTGTTTGCTCACGAATGTTAAGCATCGTTTTAAATCCACGATAGTGAAGTATCTAATGCAATATTGTTTATATGTCTGTATGCTAAGTATATCCCAGTACCTGAAATTTTGGTTCTGTATAACGATCTGCTATTTTTGTAGAGTAAGTTTTATTCGTATCATAGAATTAACGTTCAGCCGAAATTCTATTCACAACTGTGAGTATAATATTAAGTAAATGGAATGACTTCCTCAAGTAGACTTTTTTTGTTGAAAGTGACAGGTAACGAATCATCTGCAAGAAGCCAATGGACTATTGTAAAATGCCTTTATTCAAACAGTCATGCATCAGCGGACAAGCAAGTGACCATTTCTTTAGAATTAAAGGCTTGGAGGACATAAGTGTTCATAATTTAGCATATTTGAAGTGAAAGTGTGGAATCGATTTGATGATGGATAAAGAACCACTCTGTATGATGATATCCAGTAACTCGGTTGTCAAAATATGCGTCGCGAATTTCCACCTCAGTAGAAACTATCTGGTGGTAGTTGGTTCTTAACAGTCAGATTTCCAAGCATTAGATCAAAGATCTCAAAAGTCGGAGATTTCTAACAGTCACTCAGTGGTCTTTTCGAGAACTTTAGTTGGAATCAAATCAGTAGAAATTAGGGTTGAATTGGCTTAAATATCAAGATGACTAGTTGAAGTAGCAAGTACGGAGCTTTCTGGCAATTTTCGGGACTAATTAGTGT